TGCGTGAAAATGTCTTTTGTGCTGTTTACGGGAGGGAGTATTGCGCGCAGGAAACTACGACTTTCTGGAAATGGCACTCTATGAATTTTTTATCTATACAGATGGTGTTTCTTATTGTGAAAAAGTTGGAAAATTATGGGTTTGGTCTTTTAGGGAACTATAATTTTCAGGATATGGGACTCTATGAATTTTTTCGTTTATATACATAGAGTTTTTCAGCGTGGAAAAAGTGGAAAATTATAGCTTTGATCTTTTAGGAAACTATAACTTTCTGGAAATAGAACTCAATAAATTTTGTCATTTATATAGATGGAGTTTTCTACTGTAGAAAAATTGAAAAATCAGAAGTTTGATCTCTTACGCTATAATTAAAGGTACTACACGAATTATTCCACGTCTTCCTCGATAAAAGAAAAAAGAAAAATTGGAAAACGAGTTCAGCACGTGGCATCGGAACCATCGCGTATTTTAAATAGTTTTAAACTGAATTACAGGTGAGGTGTGAAGAGGATGTAGAAAGTATAAAAGTATCCCTCAGTTCCTGTTATCGTAGGAGAGATGCTCCGGTGTTTGCACAGTTGCGCCAAAGGATGGGAAAGGGAAGTAGAAGAATGTACCCCAACAAACAGACGCTTTTTATAATTAAAATTATCAATGGTCAACGAAGGGTGATAAAAGGCGGTCTGTTTGTACGGCGAAGTATCTGAAAGATGTTTAACTATGCCAGGATGCAATGCTTACTCGATAAAAAGGACAAACTTCGCTAATGTACTTTGAAGGACCGGGCACAATGAACGCGAACGAACGAGCAACGAAACCCGAGATTCCTCCGTCGTTCTACTAACTTTCACAATGAAATTCGAAAGAATAGTATACTTACGTCTTTCAAGGACGAAAAGTAGCCGAATCGGTCCTGGTTCGACGCATGCTCCGAGGAATCCTGCAACAATAGAAGGAAATCAAAGTCAGTTGATGGTTCGACAACGTGTCTCACAGAATTTCACTGGCAGAGAAACAATTATATCATTTTCTTATTTTCAGGTGCCTTTATTTCAGCAATTTTCAATGTTGCAAGATAAAAATGTAGGCTACTACATATTTATATATATTTATTTTATATTTGGTCCATTTTATATCTGTATTCAGTCAATCTCTATTCTTATACAAACATAACTAAGTAGTTTTTTTAAATACATTTTCTTTGTGACCATGAAAATTGGCTAAAATATGCACCCATAGAATTAATTAATAAAATAATTGTTACTTCCTTGCCTTTCAGTAAATATATAACAATTAACTAAATTAAATTGAAGTTTATAAATAGTCTGCAGATTTTATGCATTTATCCCAAATGCAAATATGTTAAACGTATATGTATTATCTAAATTAAAATGAAGTTTACAAATTAAATATGTACCAGTTAATTAAATAGAAATAAAATTTACAAATTAACTGATACTTAATTATATCAGTTACTACTTATAGCACGTTATTTCAAAAGGATCAACCTCCGAAACATCCTCTTACATCCTCTTACATTTATTTATCAACAAACAAGTCACATGTCTGATCATGTTGACAACTGATATAATTAAGTACCAGTTAATTTGTAAATTCAATTTTAATTAAATTACCTAATAAACATCCTCTTACATTAACTCATTAAGAAACAAGCCACATACCTGATGGTGTTGCTGTTGTTGTTGCTGCAGATAGAGCGTGTGTTGCTGCATGAATGACTGCAGTTGTGTGGGGCTGAGTATGTGTTGCTGGAGCAGCTGTTGCATCTGATGGATGCCGCTCGCCGGGCTGAGCATCATCTGCGAGGGATTCTGAGAGGGTGGTGCCCCTGGCGGCCCTCCAGGAGGAGGACCCTGCGAAGGATTCGGCGGCGAACCCCTCTGAGGGGCCTGTGGGCTCTGATGGGGACTCGGTTGGGGACCAGGCGCCCCCGAACTGGGCTGTTGCGATTGTTGCGTGATGATAGGCTGCTTTTGCTGGGTCATGGGTGCTGTTGTCACTGCGTGCCCAGCGGGACTGAGCTTCCCATTGCTCTGGTACTCGATCGTGAGGTCTTGCTGCTGCTGCTGTTGCTGCTGCTGCTGCTGCTGTTGTTGTTGCTGTTGGTCCACGGCACCGCCTCCGATCTCGTTGTTCCTGGAGTTTTCGCGGCTACGGACCGACAGCCGATCCCGTTCCCGATTCTCGCGCTCCCTCGAAGAAGGAACACTGTCGCGTGGTTGCTGTTGCTGCTGCTTCAGGGCTGCAAACAGCGAAGTAGCCTGCAATAGGAAAATGGAGATCGAGAGCTCGATCAAAGTCGGTTGCGAGCTGCCTTGCGTTTGTATCGCTAAGGGGACAGGGTTGGGGGTGTTCTTGCTTACAGGTGGCGAATAATTAATAATAATAATAATATTCCTTCGAAGGGGTTGGTATAGCGGATAGCCTAGAGGCTTATATCAGCCTGCTATGAATTGTGAATTATGGGTATGCTAGTAGCACAAAAGAACTATGCACAAACATTTTCAAACGGACATTTAACCGGTCGCGACAGGTTCAGTGTTAATCCTTTGTGATCCAATGTAGAGCGAGGTTCGATAAAAATCTACTGAAATCAGAAAATTCGGACTGCAAAGGGTTAAAGAAAACAGTTGGGTTGTCCGAAAAGTTCGTGCTTATTTTTAAGAAAAATTCAAAGGTATATTTGAATTTTAATGTATATTTATTGAATTATATATGTACCATTTTGTTCCACAACTTTCCCACCTTTTAAGGAATGTATACATGTTATTTGTTTTCAGCCATTCCGACGTATTCAGACCTGTGCCGGCTACTAAAAATCGGCATGGACTTTCCAGACAGCCCAATAATATCAAAATTTCGGAACAATTCGAAGACACGTTTCATTCGATACAATAAAACGCCACGAAATCTATCAGTCTCGGAAAGCCGGTTTCGATAGTTGAGGAAAGTTCTTTCATCCGCAGGATCTCGAAGCGAGCGGAAGAACGGGTTTATCCCGTTCCGCCTTTGCGCTCCGCAATCTACTTGATGATAGAACTTAATAAAACAAATCCCGCTGCGTAAACAACGAAGGAAGAGACTCGGGAGTCGACGTCATTCAGACAACAGCGAGTTTTCCTCCGTCGTCGAAGTAACCGTGGCTCAGCCAGCCAAACGACGGGGAATCTCGCGTTGTCTCGGGCTCGAATACCATTAGATAAGATCAATATTGCTCAAAATACGCTGGAAGTTTAACGCGCGCACATTACACGGCATTTATATCATGAATATTCCGCCCGAGGCTTCTTCTTCCCTCTTTTCCATCTCTCGGCGCTGCTTCTTCCCTTGCACCGTCGCCTTGGCGTCTCGCATCTCGCACCCCTTGTTATCTCGCGTTTTGACTTTATACAAGCGGCCCCGGTGTCGCCAAAACAGAAACTCCTTTATCTCTCGCTAAGTGGAGGACTTTTAGTTTGAATCGATTTCACCCGCAACCCTTTCGACGATTTTTCTAACAAGCCTAATTCTCTCGGGGCGCTCTTGCTTAATTTTAGGAAAGTTCAGTTCAACCTCTCTATCTCACGGAAGTTTAGATGGGACTAGATTGTCATTCACGAATTCTATAAAAAATGACCAAGGAAATGAACAAAGATTTCAAATGTTCATTTTAGAACCAATGTTTTTGTTTAAAAAAATAATATTGTGATCGTGAAATTGGATTGTCGTTCCTCGTAGCGATCATGATTTACACCATTTTCGTAACGAATGTTTTCCTCGTTCCGTTTAGCATCAAGATGACAAGTTGACAAGAGAATGCACACACTAGACATGTTTATTGTTTGTACACTGCTAGACAAAATTGAGGGATCACAAAAATTTTTCGAAAATTTTGGTCATATTCAAGTGACTATATCTTCGCGAAGAATGATCATAAAAAATATTTGGAAATGTTATTTTATAGGCCGAAATCTCTAGTTTTCGAATCAGGAGATCAACATTTTTTTTTGTCTGGCCATGTCACTTTTTTTCTTAAATGAAGTGCAACGAAGGAATATTGAAACATTTTCGTTAACTTTGAAGGTATGTACAGTACGAAAAAAATTTTTCTTGGCAAATTCAATTAAATGGTATTATAGAGTAAACTTTTCCCGTTATTTTCGTTGTTTTGGTTTTGCTATACAATTTTTATTGACCGAGTTCTTTATGATTATGTGAAAACGGGTACTTTTCACTTCGAACGCCTATAACTCATGAATACATGATCGTAGAAAAATTTCAATGAATGTTTTGGACAGCTGAGAAACTTTCCTTTAAAAGGCATTGGTTTCCAATTTGATGACATTTTTTTTTAATCGCATATAATCAATTTCAAAATGACCTAAAAATTTGCATATCTACCACTTTTCAGAAAACATGACGCCATTTCAGTAAAAATCAAGGAATCATACAAGTGCCTACATTATTTTTGAGTTAAGATTACCCACCAACTCTGTGCAAAAGGCCGAACTCATCTGATTTTTTTTTACCTTATGTCCTCGATGGCGAAACATGCGACATGATCTGAAAACTTGAAAAGAGATCGCTTGTTCTACGTTACGTTTCCGTCTCATTCAAAACGATTTTTTGTTCTTGCAGCGTCTGAATGGTTATTGCGTATTTTCTTTTCCTAATTCAACGTCATTTTAACGTACAAAAAAGGTGTTTAAAAAATTAAAGAAAAAACTTTGTTCAATCTCTTTGCAATGACAAATGCCGGCGGTACGTTATCGTTAATTACTGATATTTCTCGCCATTAACAAATTGCAACCAGGTCCGTGACTGGACATTTGCGTGCCCTACACCCATCCGTTTCGCGCCAGACATACGCACACGACTCTTTCGCATTGTCATCGGGAACAAGCTTTGATCTAACATTTTTTTAAAAAGAATCGAATCAGATGAAACCGTTTTGCAATGATTGATCGCGACGTCGCCCGCGAATATAATAACTAAAAAGAAGAGAGGACAGCCTCGACGTAGATAAATTTAAAACACGTTCCTTCCTCGGCTCCAGTCCTCGCAATTGTTCCTGCCGAGCGTGAAAATCGCGTGTCTATCTGCGAATGCGGGGTCCGCGAGTCTTATGCTAATCTTATTTGTGTACGATTACGTATGTTTATAACATGCAAAGAAAGTGCCCCCGAGGCGGGCGTTATCGGTGTTTAGTCAGGAGCGTGGCGTTTCGTCTCCGAAGTTCGAAGCGAAAGGAAAAACGTCTCCGTGGAAAAACAGACGAAACCGTTGTGTTTTCAGAGCGAGCCAAGTCACCAGATATATATGAAAAAGTACAGGGTTCGATTTATACCACGCGTTTTCCCTGTTTCCGGACAAAATGGCGGATCCTTGGAAACTAGAGAGATTAAAAGATACGCAATCTCTAATCAGGTGGACTGTCGTTGGTTGTTCATAAGCATCCATGATCGTTGAAAATTTGTGGATATTTGTTATTACTAGACTGCGGATTTGTATGCGTTTATGAGAAATTTGAATGTCCAAGACACTACAAAATGCAAACAACATGCAAGAATATAAAAATGATTGAAAGTAAAGATCATGTTATAATATTTGCAAAAGAAAATAAATTCTTATTTAGATTTAACTTTTGTAGACACGTTCGCGCAGATTTTATTTTGTGTAAAGATTCGCAGTCTAGTTATTACAAATACTGGAATCCTAAAGCCCCTCCGAAAAGTCCTTTACTTCGAGTTTAGGAGTAGTCCTTTTCTTGAACCAGATGTGATGATTTTTTTGCAGACAAGGTACTCGAGATAAACTTTTAAAATTTAGTGTGTATATTTACACGTGAATATATAGAAGGTACTCTAAAATTTTCAATGATCCTGCACAATTTATTTAAAAGCTACGTGAAATATTCTATTACCATAACTTTGAAAATTGTACCATTTTTGAAATATTTCAAAGATCCTAATCAACAAAGAATCTATTTTTCAACCCAGAGAAAAGAGTACACCCCTTACAGGCTTCCGGAATAAATTTCTACGAGGCGTTTTCGTTCATCTATTATTCGGGTAAACGACCTTCGATCGCGAGACGCGGAATCTTCAAAAGATTTTTGAAGATTCATCGCGCGTCCCGGTTCGTTTCGTCGGAATTGTCACCGCGGAAACATCGTTTCGAAACGAGCATTCTAAACAGCTACGACAACAGTCGCCTATCGTTTCGTGGAATCGAAAACGGGTCTCGGGCGATTCACAAACAAGCAGAAGAGATCCGCGGCCGACGTTTCTGCAAACACGATTGTTCGAGCCCACCAGGCACACACCGGGTGTAAATCAACGTCCAAACTTGCCAAAGTGAACTTTCGCGAGAGCAGATAATGTTTTATTTTAATTCGGTAGTTAGAATTCATTGCAATTACTCAAAGAAATTTCGCGAATGATCGCGTTCGTACTTATGCAAAAGAACGTACTTGTTTTGTTTCTTTTTAATTATTTACAACTAAGCTACAATGTCTAGATATCGTTTAAGAAACATTAAACAGAATACTTTTAAAGAAAATTTTATGATATCAATTACAAAATTGTCGAAATTGGTTGCCTCCCTGTCGTATGCATAGCTGTAACGATACGCGTAGTGTGTCTGACCATTGTCTCATTCTACTTAAGCCCATTGCTCGGAGCGCAACGCATGGGATGTTTGTTTCTTTTCAATTATTTCACCATGTTCCAGGACCGTTCTGAAACTTTTACATGTGTCAGCTAAATAACCTATCATCATTCTTGATTTTTTTTGGCAGGTGTCACTCATAGGGTTGTTTGCAATTACCACCAGCAAAAAATAAATTATTATCTACTCTTAACAATTAAAGAAATACCCTGATAAAAATATATACGAGATGCAGTTTATACGTAGGAATATTTTCGTTTTTGCAGAGTTTAAATATCTGAAATAGTAACCGAGAAAAAAAATAATAAAGTTAAGGATGTTTCATATTACTCTTAAACGGAGGGGTAACGGTCTGAAACTTTGTGAGATGATGTTTTAGGTCGAAAGCATTGCATACGACACATAATAGCAATGAAAATTGCGGGTCGATTGCCTATCCTTATCCTGCTAGACCCTTTGTCTAACAGCGAATGGGTTAAACTAGAGTTATAAATTGTCGATAATAGAGACAGAGAATTCATTTCTACACCTATCTATACTAATACTATAAAATTATACAGGTAATCTCAGGATGCACTGAGCTACACTACCGCCGAATAACATAGGCAACGTT